TAAGTTAGCTTTAATATTTACTGATTTATCGAAGATTTTGTATTTCTCTAAATTACCGTTATATGGGATGTGGGCGTGGTTATTCTCCGATGTTTAAAGTTTTCGGCCATTTAGTATGCTGTATCCAGGCCAACAACTGTGCCAAGTTTGGAAGAAATTGGTGCAGCGGTTACCAAGATATACACATGTAACCATAAGTGGGCGTGGCTACGCCCATTTTCCAAAAATTTATAATATTCTTATTTTTCGTCTGAAAATTGTCGTAAATATCAATTTTGGGTAAATAATCGTCAGTAGTTACTAAAATATCGCAGTTTCCGTATTTCTGGAAATTACCGTTATATGGGAAGTGGGCGTGGTTACAGTCCGATTTCGCCCATTTTCAATACCAACCTACCTTGGATTAACAGAAACCTACATACCAAATTTTGTTGAGATATCTCAATTTTTGCTCGAGTTATCGTGTACGCGGACGGACGGACAGACGGACAGACGGATGGACAGACAGACATGGCTTAATCGATTTCTCTATTCATTCTGAGCATTTATATATACATTTGTCTATATCTATCTCGATTCGTTTTGGCTGTTACAAACAACCGTTATGTGAACAAAATTAATATACCCTTGTGCACAAGTGCGCTCGGGTATAAAAATATTTATTTTGTTTGTGGGTAATTTGCGTGGAATTTGAAAATATTTGTGGAGATGTGTGGGTAATTAAGATTTCTTTCTGGGTAATTAAACGAATTGAAAACGTGAACGCTGGTAGCAACCGTCAGCTCAGAAAGCAACCAAAACAATTTTTTTTGTTTTCGTTGCTATGCTCCTTGTCGCTTTCTTCGCTTTTCGCTTCACTATGTTCTGCCACATTGAAAAATAAAGGTTTGTTTTTGTAGCTATTATCCGAAAATGTCTTGTCGCTCTCTTTGTCGCGTCACCAGTGTTACCGTTGTGCGACTAAAGTGTAAAATTGACAGTTTTTGGAGATCGATGCCTGTCAGGGTACCGACTTCTTAGAAATAGGCTTATTTTGAAACTTTTCTTAAAAATCATGCGGCTTTTGCCCTTTTTCTTTGATTAAAAATTCTATATACACATTTTGATAATTCTTTATTAAATTTTAATTTGTTTCTTACATATTTAAAAATGCTTTTAGTATTTACATTTCAAAGGCGCTTAAAATTTACATCTCTGGTAAGATTTTGACTGATTTCATCATTTTTATTATGTCAAAATTTGCCCAAAAAAATATCCACAAATAGCAACAATTATTTGTAGCTTAGCATTTCCCCAAGTTATTTGTGTAAATTCATTTTCGCAGCTCCCGGTACAAACAAATAATCTGCTATAATTTATATATAAGCTTAAAAGTCTAAACTTTGTTATAATAATTGTTATCTAGTAATGTTGCTTTTGAGTTATATTGATGTAAATACTTTTTTAACTGCAATTTTTTTTCATAATAAATTCAAAATATGCATATTGCGTATTTTTAGTATATCCTTCATCAATAGGGTTTTATTTTTTGGCAGAAAATTATCTCCATTATCAATTTATTAAAAATAATTCGGCATACTCATAGATGAAATAAAGTCGAGTATAATGTAAGGCGCAGCTTTTTTGACAGATTTCGACTATGAATATGCCACAATAAGTTTCGAGAGGTAAAATAATGAACGTCTTTATATACATGGTATAAAAATAATTTGAATTACTTGAAACACCATTTTCGGCTGTGATACTTTTTTTGCGACTTTCGAAAAACTTTCAGCGGTAACACTGCGCGTCACTATGTTCTTTGCCTAAAGAGTACCCCTAAAGGACCCTTTACATACAACTTTGGCGTTGCGTTGGCGTTGTCGTCGCTTTGACAGCGAGTAACGCCCGTGCTTGCTACAATGAACGCTTAGCAGGGAATAATTTAGTTACTAAATTAACATACCAGCGGCAAATAAATAAAAATTTTATATCAATTGCATTAAAAACTATATTTCTTCCCCGTAGTTGATTAAAAAGGAAAATTTGTTCACATAATTTTGGTTATTTGGAACAGCTGACGAACGACGAACGCGAAAAGTTCAGAGTTGGCCATCTTTCTGTTCTGCTTTTGCGTTGGCGTTGCCCAACTTTGGTTATGTGGAGACTTTCATATAAGTGCATGTATTCACAGTCAGATGTCAAAGCGATGCCAACGCCAACGGAACGCCAACGTTGTATGTAAAAGGGCATTAAGGGTCAAGGAGTACCCAAAGTTAGCCAAAATGCATATGAATAATGTGCTCCAATCAACATTACGATGTCCTAGGGCAGGACCATATACTCCAGCTCTGCATTACATCAGAGTAGCACAAAACTTCTTAAAGGGATTACTCCATAGAGTATCCACCTCCATCCATTGTCCAACGATTTTCGCAGGTAGCTGATAAAAGTTTGTGTATTGTGTGCTCGTTTATGGATGGAATTCCCTGATTCTCCCAAAACTGGAGAAAAAATCAGAAGAAAGGCTGCGGCATCAATTCAAAAGCACAATCTTCCTCTGATCTCTGCGTGTGCGATAATGATTCAAAAGACCCAAGTAGGTCGTTCGGTGAGATCGTATACGCTTAATAGCTACAGTATGTCGTATTATAATGAGTAACATCGATTCAAGGGCTACATCTCGTTTCAAAAAATAAAAATTATAGAAAATTCTATCATAGTCGAAGAGCAACAGTATCCACAATTGAGTTGCAAGCTGAATTTCAAAGGCTACATCTGAATCAAACTGAAACAGTTTCAAAAGTATTATATGATTTTATAATGCAAGAAAAGGATTGCCATTGTTTACCTTCAATTGCCAAAGTTTACGCGCTCACGTCTACAATAAAATTCCTATGATTTAAGTTGGGATTTTAATGTGAAATATGCGTTGGATTCAGCTTTTTAAAATGTCCAGCAGTCGCACGGAATCGACAACACGATCAAAAACAATCATTAATACTCTTTTTCAAAGATATATTGATCACATCTCAACAAAAGCATTTATTTCATATTTTAGTTACCATACACCACTGTCTCTTTTGTAGAAAGTTGAGCATGAATCTTAACAATAAAATGAAAAATTTTAAAATTGAAAACGAAAAATTATAAGAACTTATCAACTTCGTATCAATATTATAAAAAACAAACGCATTAGTCTCTTTCTCTCGTTGTTTAATTTTACGTACTTTTCACTTCTACCGGGTGTCACTGCACACGTATGTATGTATGTTTTTAATTTTATTTATTTCGAGTTTTGCTCAAATATGGAAGATATCATTAATTGAATCCTTTCACACAAGTTATTGTTAAATTAGGTTAAGTTCTTGGAAAATACTCTTAGAAAATTCTCATATAAGGGTTTTTTGATACTAGGAGTTCATTTTTGAAGTTTGTTTTTTATTAGCGCTGCTGTGTATATGGCGCTGTATGCCAATTTTATTGAATTTCATTGAGTGTTTTTAAATAAATACTAAAATTAGAAATTTTCATTATTTGTATTACAAATACCAATTTTTAACACCACAATGAATATTTTAAACAGAAATTAATTAATTTATTATATTGTGTTTTATTCTTTCGTCTACTATTTTTTCAAACTTTCCTATTTCTTTGCTTTTTATTTCGATTATCAAAATCATCTTCATAATTATTTTATTATTTTCCCTTGAGAGTGTAAATTTGCTATTTGAGAATTCTAAAGGTTTTAGTATGAAAATCGCGTGTTTTCGATAACAGCAGTTTATCACTTTATTTGGTGTTTTAATTTAAACAAATTTGGTTTGTGAAAGAAAATATCAACATTATTGTCGGATATTGTTGGTGGAAAATGGCTACAGCTGATGACGTAAATGCAAGCAATAACGTTGTAAATTCTTCACATGACAATGATGACGATGATTTTGAAAATCAAAATAAAAAGAAACAATGGAAAGTTCGAAGGAAAAGTAGACAAAAGAATGAAACAAAATACAATAAATAATTTAATTTCTGTTAGAAATAGTAATTGCGATGTTTGAAATCACATCACGACTGAATTTAATAAAGACTTCTAATTTGAATATTTATTTGAAAAATTCACAAGGAAATTCAATACAATTTTACTTCAGCGCCATCAGGCGCAAAACTAATAATAAAAGAACTTCATAAATGAATTCCTCGTATCATAAAACCCTTATATGGGTATTTTCTAAGAATAATTTTCTAGAATTTAACCTAATTAAACAATAAATTGTGTGCAAGGAGTAAATTAAGGATATCTTCCCTATTTGAGCTGAACTCGAAAAAAGCCATCTACGTAGTATTACTGACATCTAAAACTATCACTTGCATTTGGTCTTACTCAATACCGAGTCAGCAAGTTTGATTTTTTCGCATAGTGTTATATACAGTATATTTTGCTTTGCTGCCTCTATGCTTAAGTGCACGTTTAAGATACCTACCCCAAAATGCGCATCAGAGGCATTATTTTTAACATTTATAAGGAAACTGCTCCGATAGATGCATTTAGCATACCTGCACATTGGCGATACCTGCCTTAAAAATTGTGCGACTAGTATCAATTATCAAAGAAAGTATTACGTTTACCTTCACTGGCCCTACAATTACCTAATTTTACAACTTTTTATTTATTTTGTTCATCTCGCAGAACAGCGAAAATGGCTATAAATTTATGTAGTTATATAGATAATTAGATACTATTCGGTAAAAATTTCTCTTGCAGTAATTTCTACGTGGTAAGTTATTATTTGGTTTCATAGGTATTTGGATACCTTCCTCATTGAAGTAGTAAAGAAAATTCGCTTAAGTGCCTTTTTCGGTTAAGTGCGCAAGTTTTTCGTGCAAAGAAGAATGTGCAGCTAAGCAAAATATACTGTATATGCATTTAATCGAATTATGTGGGGACTCCATATCGTTTTCATACTATGTTAACGATATGTAAGTATCTTGCTAGGCTATTTATTAAACTTTTTTTTACAGTATGATGGAACATTTTCTGATCACTTGGAGATGCTTGTGCAGATGGGTTACGTGGTACTTTTTTCAGCCGCGTTTCCACTTGCTGGCATATGTGCTCTCATTAATAACTTAATGGAGATACGTTCAGACGCTTTCAAGTTGGCTCATGTGCATCAGCGACCCTTCGGGCAGCGAGTGGCCAACATTGGAACATGGCAAAATGCATTTAGCATTCTCTCGCTGGCGGCTGTTATAGTGAATTGTGCGTTGATTGGATTATCGGGTCAAATATCACGTCTGTGGCCAGGTCTCACAACCGCCCAAACAATAATCTTAATTGTCACACTGGAGGTATAACTCATTTTCAGTGATGATTATTTATTTATATTTATTATTTTGGTTCCTAATTTTACAGCATATTATGTTGGCCTTGCGCTCGGCGTTGACATGGCTGCTACCAGAATTACCATCTTGGTTGGCGGCGGAAATTGCTCGCGCTGAACATTGTCGCAGAGAGATGCAATGCAAGGGAACTTCGCCGCGGCCTACGCCACCCACACCGCCATCGACTACTTCCACTCAGCCGGACCAAGAGGTTCTGAACCTTGAGTGTGCTACAACTAACGACCAATCGATGGAAAGTCAAATGGCTGAGGATATTTTATATCAAGAACAGTTCCGACAAACAACCAACTATTCCCAAATAAGTGAAATCACCAATTTCGGTCTACAACGCAATATTGAAGCTGATGTCAACATATTCGAGAACCGGGATTCTTCACCTGATTCGCCACCATCACAAGTAACTTAAGCTTTAACTTCCCACCTGCATATTTGTTAGCGAGTTCTATATATTCCGTTATTGCAGACGAGCACCATATTGATAAGACCTTTACATGAATCTACGCCGCCTAACAGTGGATCGTCAGTGACGAGCTTAATTCAAGACACCGGCCATGGACACGGCGGGTTCGTTTGCATTAAATTCTGTATACATACATATGTATGATATTGCTCCTTACTTTTAAATTTCTCCTTTATAAACAATTTACATATGTATTCCCCCAACCTCTTATAAAGAATTATGCAATTATGGATGGTGTTCTACATTGCCAACTTCTCACTCTAAATCAGCCATCTTGAACGCATCCCAAAACTGAAGAACTACTTTTTATTTTACTGGGAGTATAAAAAAAATGTAATATAAATTTTACATATGAGGCATTCTTTTTTAAGTCGGACTGATTTCGTAAAAAAATGATGTCATGTCTCCGATTCGCTTCAAATTTCTGGTTTCTATACATGAAATTATCTAACACGTATTCGAGGATTTTTTTCTTCAGAGATATGATCTGTCAAAGTTAGAATTTTTTCGTGGTTCTGGCCAATCATGTACTTTTTCAAATCGTTATATCTCGGGCTATACTCATCGCAGAGACCTCTGGGTCGATTAGGCGGTGCCACAAAAAACACTCATGAAATAGACCCTAAACAAAACTTAGTGTAGGTTGTAGATATGGTCGAGTGCAACATGAAAATAAGTTCCGTATAATACCTGAACCTCCATTTTTTATTTCAAAACAACCGTTATGTTCGTACTTGATGTACTTGTCTATAAACAGCTTGACTATTTTTCATCCGATTTTAAAATCCGAACATGTTTTGAAAAGAGGATTTATAGACCTTTAAAGTTGTGTACAACAATATATTATTATATTTAACGTTAGAAGTTTTCATCGGTTAAATTTTAATAAGCCCCTATTTTTCTTGATTTTTACAACTTTGACCATCGCTTATTAAAAAAATTTCTATGAACGTTGCTAAACATGTAGTACCTAAAAGAACATTTATTTTGGAATTAATTGGTACCCCACCTAATGCAATTGCATAAAAATTGTCAAAGTTAAGCATTTTAAACAAAAATACGGTATAGAATTTAAATGTGTGTATGTACCGCACGTGTCGGCCGCTGTGGTGTAGTGGTAAGCAGTGCGCGCTTCCACTCCGCAACGCCTGGGTTCAAACCCTGGTCAAAGCAACATCGCAAAAATATAGAAAAAAAGGTTTTTTCTTAACAGCGGTCGTCCCTCGGCAGGCAATGGCAAACCTCCGAGTGTATTTCTGCCATGAAAAATAGCTTCTCATCAAAATACAATCGCCGTTCGGAGACGGCGTGCAACTGTAGGTCCCTCCGCTTTGTGTGTCAACATCAAGGCGCACGCCACAAATCGGAGGAGAAGCTCGGCCAATCTAAGCGCCAATCTATTATTGTGTTAGGTACCGCACGTTCAGATTTTTTTAGCAGGGTGGCCAAGGAGCTCATCAATATTTACTCAGAATTGATATAGACAATGGCTCTTAAGCAAAAAATTTATTTTTCATACAATTTTAGGAATATGGGCGTGGCACCTCCCACTTATATGATATATTTGTATTTCAAAAACTACTACACCGATCGCTACCAAATGTGATATACACTTTGTTCTTAGCATCCTTAAGCGCCGTCTTGAATATTTTTGTAATCGGACAAAACCTACTCCACCTAAAATATATCTAGCCTTGAACCTTTTGAAATTACCGTTATGTGGGTGCAGAGCGCGGTTTTTGTGCGACTTCAAAAATTTTCAAGACGGTGCTTAAGGAGGCGCACAAAGTGTCAAATCGGTTAAGTAGTTTTGAAATACGCATATATCATATAAGTGGGCGGTGGCACGCCCCTTTTCCAAAAATTGTATGAAAAATAAATTTTTGCTTAAGAGCCATTATAGGTATATATATCAATTTTAAGTAAATATTGATGAGCTCCTTAACCACCCTGCTAAAAAAATCTGAACGTCGGATACATAACACACATAAACACGCAATACCGTATTTTTGCTTGAATTGCTTAACTTCGACAATTTTTATGCATTTGCATTAGGTGAGGTACCAATTTAATTGAAAATAAAATTTCTTTTAGGTAAATACGGCATGTTTAGCAACTTTCATAACAATTTTTGAAATATAATAAAAGAAAAAGCTTTAAAGCATTAACTTTGGCTTACAGTGCAGCCGGGAGCTCTGTCGATTGATTGAGGCGCGGTCGTGGTCTTCTCTTCCTGATAAAAAGAAATAATTTTACTGAACCTAGCATTATTGCAGATTTTTCTTTACAACTCTATATTTTAATAATTTCATTTTACTAGCACTGCTTGATTACAACCACTTGCTGGTTGCCGAACTGTCAAATTTCGATTATCGATAACTCTACAGCAACTGACGATAGTTGCCATTCGTAATACAAATTTTCCTTTCAGTTGCGTTGCCAGCTGGCAACCGAACCGTGGTTGCGTTGTTATCCGTAATCGACCCATCCATCTTAACGTCGTTTTCTAGCTATCTTGGATGTAAATAGTTGAACTTTTTGAAGATGATTTGCATAGTGAAGACCAGTAAATTAAGGATTTAAATTTAAACCATCGTGATCTTTGTTTAATTGTGTATAAAAAACACGTTCCAAAAAAATAAAGGGCTTCCAAGAACTATGTATATTAAAAAAATTTTTTATGACGAGTTTTATCTTGTGAGAGTAGAATATTTTTTAAAATTTGTTTTCGAAAACAGACTGAGATATACATATTTAGCAAGGTGTTAAAAAACGTTTTTTTGGCAAAAATGTAAATTTTATTGTATGGCAGAATTTTTCTTTAGGGCGAAAAACTCCTAGAATTGGGCGCAACAATTGGAGGACAAAAATTAGCAAAACGCAGATTTTATTGCGAATTTCGGCAAAATATCCCTTTGTTAACAGCATTTGCTCCGCAATCCGTTTTCAATCTAAGAATCTTCTAGAAATGTGCGAGGCAAGTTCAAAAAGTTCAAGTAGTTTCTTAAAGAACTTTTTTGAAAAAAGTCCCCTCAGATGACAAAACAGATTAGGCTCAAAAAAATATTTAAAAATCTTTTCAACGGAATCGTAATAATGAGATTTTTGATGCTGTTTTTTCTACTTTTTTCAAAAATTGATTTATGAAAACCTTAAATAACTGGGCCAAAACTAGGCAGATAAAGGTAACAAAACAGTAATGATGTACAAGACTGATTATGATTGCAAAATGATGGAATTGCTGAATGATTAAACCACATACAGAGCCATAAGAAATGATCCCACCCAGAAGTTAATGAGAAGAAACAATGCGATCATAAATAATTTATACAAACAGAAGAAAATTAACCTAAAGGAAAAGCTACGGTTGACATGTGCAGCGGCAAATGACCCAGACTCTACGGGGGAGGCCGTAGACTCTGGGTCATCCACAAGCCCAACACACCTCTCCGACCAATATCGCCATCCACAAATATTCCCTGTTACAAACTTTCAAAATTTATGGGAAATATATATAGAATATATATATATATAATATTCTAAGAAATATCACATCAGATACATACAATATAAAAAACTCGTATCAATTAAAAGAAAATCTCCAAGATTTCACAGTAGAAGCAGGTGAAATTCTAGTATCTTTTGATGTAATTTCATTATTTACGAATATCCCGACGCAGTTCGCCATACAAATTATTATGAAAAAAAATGGAAAACATTGGAAAACTACACCAACATTGCAAAAAATTATTTCCAGATGATACTAGAGTTTTGCTTAAGAGACAACAACTACTAGCTCATACCCAGCACACAAAATTGCAAGGAATTTGGCCCTGTCAAAATAAGTATTCTGATTTAGACTTATGGGATCTCGGTAGAAAAGTATTTTCCCACTATTATTTATGTGCAAAAAGTCATTCGTGTCCCAATTTTTTTTTTTTTTAAATACCAACACATCTTAATTCAACTTTGAATGATGTTCTTTTCCTTTCTCTTTCATCACCACCATCAAAAATATTATTATTACAACTCCGTTCAAATTTTTTTTTTAATATTTTTATGTAAATTTTTTAAGCTTAAACCGTTTTGTCATTTGAGGGAATTTTTTCAAAAAACATCTTAAATAAACTATTTTTATTCATAAAAAACTCCATTTTTGGAGGATTCTCAAATCGTCCCAGCTCGCTTAAATCTTAATATTTTTCCGAAATATTTTGGTGAACGTCTTAAAATATAATAGATTTTATAATTCCAATGGAAAAACAGTACCGATTTTTTTTTGTATGGGGAGTGATGCAGTCTAATATACATACATCATGTTCTTGCCAAATGTTCTTGCAAAAACGAACGAATGTATTATTATACATATAAAGTGTGCCACCAAATGAAAAAAGTTACATTGAATAAAAGAAGACTATGATTTGAGAAATTACCCTGCAGAAAATTGAATTAGTTTGAAAGTAATTTATAAAATACTTTATTTTCAATGATAACTAATTTAAGTTCTCACTACTTTACCTGCAAAGAACTTATTTATTTAACATGGCGATGTCCTAGGAAGCAGTCAATTGCCCTTTCCTGCATGTATTTTCAACTACTTTAAAATGAATTTGGCTTAACCAACTTCACAGTCAGTATGTTTCGTTTGAATACGCTTTCGTTCTGCACTTCACAGATGCTTTTTCATAACTAAGAAAAACCGAAATTAAAAATTAAATGAGATTTAAGCATGGACATTTTAGCAATTGTGGCAAACATCTTTGCACGCTCAGCTACAGCCAGACATGTAAATGTGCTTTCAAATGTTCAGTTTGAATCGTGTGCAAGCAGCAAGTCGACTGTCCTATCCTGCATTTAAATTCAACTACTTTAAAATGAATTTGGTTTACACAACTTTAAAGTCAGTGTGTTTCTTTTGAATTCACAGATGGTTTTTCATACTTCCAAGACACAAATTGTTTTTTTGAGTAAAAATAGTATCAAAAATCGAAACATTTACTCTTTGCATTTGTTTTAAAGTAGTCTTTCAAATAGTTGATTTAAAAAAAATTACTTGTTTCCGTCAGGGTAAAGTTCCACTTTTACCATTTTTATTGGTACAAATGAAATTCATTCTAGAATTGTTATATATATGAATAAAGTTAT